TAAAGCATGTTTGGAGATTGATCAAAAGGAGCTCTACCGAACTGTGCAAGAGTGTCGCCAGGTTGTCTCACAGGTCATATCGTCAGTATCAAATGTCATGCTACAAAGAAGGCATATCAAATGTTCGCGAGGGCATGCTCTGCACGCGTGTCCCTACTCAGGTTCTGACGGAAAATTCCGGCCTGGCCAGCAAACCATGAAGTCTATCAGAAAGAATACCCACTTAAGTCAGAGTAGCTTTAGAAAGATCGATATAGTCCACATGACATAGTATAAGCCCCGGCAAATACTCTTACCAAAAATGACACCTGCAAAGGGGTTCTGGGATTCTGGCTAGTCTTCCCGTGTGGGGTTATCAAAACCTGAAAGACCCCAATCACCTTGTAGTCAACAGTCCAACATACATCAACATACCCATGAGTAGGCCAGCAATGAGGTTACCTTTCAATGGGGTCTAGAATTTATTGTATGTGTATCACAAATTCTATCAGAGTACAGTAAAGTCTTGCATAGTCTTGCTTGCTATGTCTTGCTACATCCTCCTGGGCAAGCCAATGTGGGAGATCGTCACGTATCATCACCATAGCCATAAACCCTTGCATAGTGGAAGTTGACGGAATTTGCAAGTATACTAAGGGCATAGAAGCTACAAGTAACAAAGGGCATCGCTACTAGGAGCAAGGACGCTACTAGTAGCTCCTGGCATTGCTACTAGTAACAAGAAGCTACTAGTAACTAGTATCATCAAGATTCATCAAGCATCGCTCAAAGACCACGTTCCACGGCGCTTGATCATGTCTGGCTTTCGGGTCCCGCCACGTTTGGGGACGTTCAGTTTCATTTCCCATGTCCAACAAAATGTCCAGGCCTTCAGTCTCCACTGTGCTGCCAGCAAATGCGGCTCGTATGTAGCGGGAGTGACTAATGCTACGCCTCAGGCTACAGGATTTCCAAGACTGTACACTCAGGGATACTATGGGATATTCAAAAGCTTGCTCGGGTTTCCAAGAAGCAGGTAGTCGTGAGCTTTGCCCTGCATCCGGGATAGCTTATGAAAGGTCTTGCTTGTGTGTGCGCTGCAGCACTATGGGCACTGCTACAGTTCTGGGCTATTTGCCGCGTCACGTCGTAGAAAGCAAGAACCACAGGACTGACCCGTTGGTTGAGTTTGAGGATGGAGAACATGATGATTGATGGCTGGGTCCAAATATTTGTGCAGCATGCAGTTTCAGGGCAGCAGGGAACATGTAAATCAGCTTGCCCAAACACCAGCGGTCTCCCGGAGAAACTCAGGTCTCCGCAATGAATCGTTGGGTATCCCTGAGGCGGAGGGCAATCCGTCAAATCGAGGACTGCTAGGCTGGCGGGAAAACATGATGGAGCACAGTAATTGCAAGAACTCAGAAAAGGATGGATTACTTTTGAATTACAGAAGCGCCTATCATAAATGTTGACTGTCAAGCATTCCTGAAACAGCCTAAGGCCTAAGACGCTTCAGATGAGTCCTAGTCTGCCCGGACAAGTCGCGTAATGACGACGAAGGAGTATCAGCAAAACTTTACGATGCCCTGTCCACTGGTGTACTGTATTTATTGTGTTGGTGCAGGGAACTGGCTTGAAAAAGACAGGTCTACAGCCGATAGACAGACTGGTACTTTTGGAACAGAAAATGTAGTTATAAAGTTCAGGAAAGATCAAAGAAGAGTTAAATGCTGCAATAACAAGTCTTCCTCCTCACTGATTCTGTCAATGCAAGACTCCTCTAGCTGCCACGTCTGGGCTGAAAAGGTCAAAGAAATGCCATGGGATGCCAAAACAAAAATCGTATTACAACGAGTATAAACATCTACCTTCCAACAAACCTTCTTATGGTCGGGTCCGGCTAAAGCTTTTGGCACCCAGGCTTTGCCGACCGCAGAAGCGCTTTGTAGAGCCACTGACAGTACGAGGCACCTCAGGGAGACTTGAACTTTTGGAACGAGGTCTGTAAACATTAAACTGCCAAAGAGTGTGGGAAGAATGACCCTCTTTGCTTTGCAACACATTTTTTGCTTGACAGAGGATCACCTGTTCCACCTTGATCGCTTTTGGTATGGGTGGACAAAGACTAAAGACCACAAAGAAGATTCCCACAATGGAGTTGGCTGCAACGAGGGCTTGAATGATCCCAACTCCAGCTTTGGCCATCCAAATGGTTTAAGCTTTTCCGTCAAAAGCGATGCATGCTAGGAATAGAAGCACTTAGAGCTCCACATCACATTTGGGCCTGCAAGCTACTAGTAACAGTACACCAACACCTGAACAAAATGAGGAACCCCCCCCAAATAGGGTCCTGTTGCTCATGTTGCTCCGTGTTTGTCGGGTCACCTGGTCAATGGACAGTCCCATCATCTGTCCCCGCCTGAGAAGACAGGTGCTTTTCAACCGTGACATGCCTACCCTGACAGCTGGCCTTCTGAGCTGTAAAGGGTCTGCGGATGGAACGAACGACTCCGCAGAACGACTGACCCAAACGCTGGTGGTCACACGTCCCCGTCGCTGATGGTCTCACCGCGGGTGGTCGGTGTTGTTTCCATTCAGATAGAACAATCAACGTTGATGGCCTCACAATGGAACGAAAAGGAACACCAGCAGTATGCGAACATGTACCATCAATGTGACCTTAAGTCTTTCGCGAGTTTAGAACTTCAAACTCCATCGAGTCTCAAACGCTACCAGCGTTTGACCTCCCGTGTACTGCTCTAGGGGGGGCAACTTCCCCCACCGAGTTTCATAGTCGCCGTCCCACATGTTTGTGTCTTCCTCACCCACTTTCGCATCGTTTCCGGCGCTGAAACAGTCGACCACTAGTCGTGGTACCAAGGTCTCGCACTCGCGTACCTCTCGCACCAGGTGGTTGACCTGGCACCGAAAACGCCATGTGAAAGATCTCGAGATCTGTGATCAATGGCATTGGTAATGTTCTGACTCCGACTCCTTTCAGTATTCCGATTTTGCCCTGTGGTAAACCCCTGTGCATTCTCGTTTGTGCCTTCTGGTTTCGATAATTTTGCACAATGGCAGGCAGTCATATGTCACAAATGTCCATCCTCTGTGCTTCCTTTGTGGAGCCTGCCTGCAGCCTTTGAAAGCACTCAAGGCCTATGCAAAGCATTAACTTCTCATTAACTTCAATAGTCCTCAAAAAGGTTCAAAGCGAATCTCATTCATCGACGAACCCGTGCCTTATCTGTAAACCAATTGCTCATGGCTGCTTAGAGTGTGATTCTAATGCGCGCTGCCACAAATGTTTGTGTGGTGCTGTGGTCTTGACCTCGTCTACAGTTTCACAAGCGATGAAACATCCATACAGTACAGTGCCGTTGCTCGTCTCTACCAATTGCGGTTGAGGAACAAATCATCTTGTTGACTTGTTGACTAAGCTGGGCAAAAGGTCATTAGGACAAACATTGTTATGTCATGTTATGTCATGCTTTGCATGCTCCCTCCGTTGCAGGAAGTTCAGCAGGCTTGACCAACAAATGCCATATGTGCAAGGCACAACACGTGCGCGTGTCTGCCATGTACTCCACTTGCATCAACTTGCATCCCTTCAGGTCTGTCCGAAACTCTGGACCTTCAGTTTCAACATGTAGTTACAGTAGACTAACTGGATCTCACTGAAAATTCCAACTCAACTTGTAGATACGTTCGGATCCTTGCCGAAATTACGTTCATCAACGGCTTGCGTTGAATGTGATGATACAAGACGCGGCACAATCAAATCATTGGATTCAATTGAAAAGACAGATTTGGAGGTCAAACAAAGCGCCCTTGGAATTCATCCACAGCACATTTTAAGCCATCAGCACTCTGGCGGTACAGCGCCGCTGTATCGATGCGACACATCATGCCCAAGCGCCAAACCGAGCCACTCCAAATGAAAAGTCGATCAAAGGGCCATGTCACTCAGCCTCAATCAGATTAAAACCTCTTTGCCAGTGGCCAGTGAGTGGCCCCATGACAGCTCCTAACATTTCTTCACCATGATAGCTCCAGATTTCAACAGCTTCACTGCCACGCAGGGAATGATCCTGAAAGATCCACCAGGGGGATCTTCTGCTGCTCTGCAAAGCCTCTGCGTCCTTGGGGCGCACACATATTCAATTGGAGGTACGTATATATATATAATACTACCATTAAAGTATATGTTTGCGAATCAATTGGAAGATTAAGGTTTTATGTTGCAAGTCTCTGAGTACATCGCAAGACCATCTATGCAATCTAAGGAGCAGTTCGAAATCGGCCTGTCCTGTGTGTCACGCCCGGTATGTAGCCAGTGATGCACGTGAGCTGCGTGGCCGCCATACAAAGGTCCGACCCCTTGCAGTTGAGATGAGTGTCTTAAGTGTGAGACTTGCAGGACATTGACATGAAAGCATGGAGTGGGGGAGTTGCAGGGTGAAGCGCAGTGCCCCGCAATATGACCTCTAAGGAAAAAACTCCTGACTACCTTCCTTACGTTCCTCTCATTTTGTCATGAACTGACTCAGCTACAGACATTCTGAGGCAGTCGGTGCAGAAGCTGCTGGACCTGGCATCATGCTGACACTACCATGATGCCCTCGATCTTTTGCTTTTTTGTAAAAAACACAGGTTGCCAACTGTTAGGGTACGTACCTCTATTCCACATCTCCACTACGGACATTCTGTGGAATTTGGCGCCCTGCAACTACCATGTACTTCTGCCAATACTGAGGAAACTCTTCGGGTCCTGACACTGGTCCAAATGAATCAATACGTACCTCCGGACACAACTGACTTTGGCTTTGATTTCAGTCCTGAAGCACGCAGCATGCCAGGAGCCCCTAGTAGCATCCTTGTTCCTAGTAGAGGCCAGGAGCCCCTAGTAGCTTCTTGTTACTATCTTTTTTGACTTTGGCCAGGTTGAAAGACCGCCACAAATGCACTGTGACAAACCGCACAAGGAGCCTTGAACTCATTGATGGCCAACTCAAGCTTTACACGTGCACGAAGTGGTCCTGGAAGGTGAGAGAGAAAATGGTTCCAAAATGGCAATGGCCGTCCCTGCTCATATATAACTTCGATATATATATATACATACGTGAATTCTTGAGGTACCAGCAATTGATACTTGATATACTACCACAAGGACAAATTCTGTGTCATTGTGTCACACAAACTCTATCTGCCCCAGTTTTGCAGGACTAGTGGTTAGAGACCAGCCAAGCCCAAAAAATACAGGAATCAAAGAACAAGCTCCGCAGCAAAATGCATTTGCCTTTTCCTGCAAACTGTGCAACTAAGTCAAGCAGTGAAAGAAAGTTCAAGAGGCTTTGAACGTCTTTCTTTCTTGAGCAATTGCTTGCAAGAAAATGCCAGCTCCAATTTGGCATGGTTGATACGCCTGTGTTCATGTCGTTGGAGTGTCCAACCTGTCCACCGTTCCTGATCTGCAAGGAAAACTTCTAATGCATGGCACCGGCTGGGCCGGGTGCAACACATGTCAATGAAAAAATCTTCCTCTAGGAGTACGCTGCCCATTGGGACATACATGCCACCTTTGTATGAATAAGGCATCATCATCCTCGTCCTTCATGTAGTTGACCCAAATCATGTAGTCCTCATGCCTAAATGATTATAGAATATGAACATCCCGGTCCCTTATCTCTTGGGGCTCGGAGAATCCATCATCGGTGAAATTGCAAGCTACAATGCCCAAATGCTCCCGGCATACCATTAGGCCTTCCGCGTGTGTTGACAAATGCAAAAAACGTTGCGGCAACAACAGGATTCATCCCTCAGCTGTGTGACGGCTGCATCTGTGATCTTGTATAGGTTGACAGAGGCATAGATGTGGCCTCCCCGTCCGGCCCTCTCCGTGTGTGCGACCAGCCACTCATCGTGTGCATGCATTGAGAAATCATTGCGGTCGCCGGACTGACACCATGCATCACATTAAAGCCTGCCACGGACAATACCCAAAGCAGCATCAATGATGAGAATTTCAAGGTCCCTCGGGGTCATCCAAACTGCAGTATCGAGCCATTTTTGCGACTCGGACAGTACAACGAATCCAGTATGCACACTCAAGTCTTCCCCAATGCGTTCTGCTATGCAAAAAGGTTGACTCCCAGCCAACCTCTCTGAATAGACTGGCGTTGGGGACATGCCTCGAAACGTCTGCCATGCTTGAGGCTTGGTCCTGTTGGGTCCCTGACAAAGTTGTCTGCCCAAAGTTCAAATCCGCCCTCTTTCAGTCGGACCCTAGCCGCACCCTGCAAACTGAAATTGCACATGGTGGTTGAGGTGACTATGGAGTGGTTGCCATAGCGCGATGTGCTGGAGGATTTGAAGACGTGGCCATGTTGCATCGACACAACAAGGATCTTACCATTTACCTCGAGGAGCAACTGTTCCAGGCGGAGGGACTCAATCACTTTCACTCACTAACGCCGTGCGCGGAAATTTTACAGAAGCTGAAGATCTTTGCCACAGCCGGAGCAACACGGCCACATCGTTCATGGATGGCCAGTCGCACATGGCTTAGAGTGGAAAAGCTACCTGTTGATAGGTTTACTGAAGTTGGAACGGTCCACTCAGGATATTTATGGTATATAAAGGATTGATAGAGTAAACAGTTGCTTCTATTGTGCAGGGATGGTTGCTAATCCTACTTGGATAAAAGCCAAGTAGGCCATACATTGTATTGGCATGTACTGGCTTAGGAACCTGATGGCAGGTCTCTGCAAACCAGTTCGGAAAAACACGGAAAGCGGAGCAGCTGCATTTTATTGCTGGGTAGTCGGACCTCTTTTTTTCATGGCTTTAACGGTGTTGTACGTACACTACGCAGAAGACCACCTGCCCAAGTCGAACGGCTGAGAAAACAAGTATATAACCTTACACTTGTCGGACCTAAGTCTGTCGGGTTTTTACGATGTTATACGCACATGACGCAAAAAGACTACCTGCCCAAGTCAAACGGCAGAGAAAAACAGCCAAGTCGACGAACATCGCCGCAAAAAAGTAAAATAACAGCAGCAAAGCCTTCAACATAGATCCCACAGCCCCAATCACTTCCAACATACCTCCACGAGAAGCCCCAACAGAGCCCCAACATTGGGCGAAACGTGCCAACATGGAGAAGGATATGCCCTAAGAATGCACCAAGATCGCCGAAGATTGGTGCAAACATGCCCCAAATTTGACTGCCCATTGGAGCAAGCTTTCGTAAGCAACAAAAACGACAAAACTGTCAAAGCCACCTTTCTTACACTTGTCGGACCTCATTTTCATGGATTTATGGCGTTTTACGCACAGCACGCAAAAAACCACCTGCCAAGTCAAACAGGGCAGAGAAAAAGCAGCCAAGTGGACCAACATGGCCGCAAAACATAACAGCAGCAAAGCCTTCAACATAGCCCTGATCTAGACCCCACGGCCCCAATCACTTCCAACATACCTCCACGAGAAGCCTCAAGAGAGCCCCAACATTGGGTGAAATGTGCCAATATGGAAAAGGGTATGTCCCAAGAATGCACCAAGATCGCCGAAGATTGGCGCAACATGCCTCAAATTTGACCACCCACTGGAGCAAGCTTGCATAAGCAACAATAACGACCAAAAATTGTCAAAACCACCTTTCTTACACTTGCCGGACCTCATTTTTCATGGTCTATAATTCTATATATAGTGCTTTACACACACTACGCAAAAGACCACCTGCCCAAGTCAAACGGCAGAGACAAAGCAGCCAAGCGGACCAACATGGCTGCAAAACAAGTAACAGAACAGCAGCAAAGCCTTCAACATAGCCCTGATCTAGACCCCACAGCCCCAATCACTTCCAACATACCTCCACGAGAAGCCTCAAGACAGCCCCAGCATTGGGCGAAACAAGTAACATAACAGCAGCAAAGCCTTCAACATAGCCCTGATCTAGACCCCACGGCCCCAATCACTTCCAACATACCTCCACGAGAAGCCTCAAGAGAGCCCCAACATTGGGTGGAGTGCTCCAATATGGAAAAGGATATGTCCCAAGAATGCACCAAGATCCCCGAAGATTTTCAAAACCACCTTTCTTACACTTGTTGGACCGCATTTTTCATTTTTGTGTTTCACACGGACTACGCAAAAAACCACCCGCCCAAGTCAAACTGCAGACAAGTGGACCAAAACAGCAGCAAAGCCTTCAACATAGCCCTGATCTAGACCCCACGGCCCCAATCACTTCCAACATACCTCCACGGGAAGCCTCAAGAGAGCCCCAACATTCTTTGGAGTGCTCCAATATGGAAAAGGATATGTCCCAAGAATGCACCAAGATCGCCGAAGATGGGCACAAACGTGCCCCGAATTTGACCACCCACTGGAGCAAGCTTTCATAAAACAGAGCAGCAAAAACGACAAAGAAAACTATCAAGAGCACTTTTCTTATACTTGTCGGACCTCAATTTTTTCATTGTTTTTTACAGCGTTTTACGCGCGCTACGAAAAAGACCACGAGCCGAAGTCCAACAGGAGAGAAAAAGCAGCTAAAGGATATGTCCAGATCGCCGAAGACTGGCACAAACGTGCCCCAAATTTGACCACCCACTGGAGCAAGCTTGCATAAGCAACAAAAACGAAAAAAGAAACTGTCAAAACCAACTTTCTTACACTTGTCGGACCTCATTTTTCATGGTACATAATTCTGCTTATAGTGCTTTACACACACTACACAAAAGCTTGCTCCAGTGGGTGGTCAAAATTGGGGCACGTTTGTGCCAATCTTCGGCGATCTTGCTACATTCTTGGGGCATATCCTTTTCCATATTGGCGCATTTCACCCGATGTTGGGGCTCTCTTGAGCCTTCTTGTGGATGCAAGCTTGCTCCAGTGGGTGGTCAAAATTGGTGCACGTTTGTGCCAATCTTCGGCGATCGTGGTGCATTCTTGGGGCATATCCTTTTCCATATTCGCGCATTTCACCCAATGTTGGGGCTCTCTTGAGCCTTCTCGTGGAGGTATGTTGGAAGTGATTGGGGCCGTGGGGTCTAGATCAGGGCTATGTTGAAGGCTTTGCTGCTGTTATGTCACTTGTTTTGCGTCCACTTGGCTGCTTTTTCTCTGCTGTTTGACTTCGGCACGCGGTCTTTTTCGTAGCGCGGGTAAAACACTGTAAAAACATTGAAAAAATGAGGTCCGACAAGTGTAAGAAAAGTGGTTTTGATAGTTTTCTTGGTCGTTTTTGCTGCTTTGTCTTATGAAAGCTTGCTCCAGTGGGTGGTCAAATTCGGGGCACGTTTGTGCCAATCTTCGGCGATCTTGGTGCATTCTTGGGACATATCCTCTTCCGTATTGGAGCACTCCACCCAATGTTGGGGCTCTCTTGCGGCTTCTCATGGAGGTATGTTGGAAGTGATTGGGGCCGTGGGGTCTAGATCAGGGCTATGTTGAAGGCTTTGCTGCTGTTATGTTACTTGTTCTGCGGCCATGTTGGTCCACTTAGCTGCTTTTTCTCTGCGGTTTGACTTGGGCAGGTGAAAATGACAAGAAAACTGTCAAAACCAACTTTCTTACACTTGTCGGACCTCATTTTTCATGGTACAGAATAATTTTCTATAGTTCTTTACACAGACTACGCAAAAGACCACCTGCCCAAGTCAAACCACAGAGAAAAAGCAACCAAGTGGACCAACATGGCCGCAAAACAAGTAGCGTAACAGCAGCAAAGCCTTCAACATAGCCCTGATCTAGACCCCACAGCCCCACTCACTTCCAACATACCTCCACGAGAAGCCTCAAGAGAGCCCCAACATTGGGCGAAACGTGCCAACATGGAACAGGATATGTCCCAAGAATGCACCAAGATCGCCGAAGATTGGCACAAACGTGCCCCGACTTTAGGCACCCACTGGAGCAAGCTTTCATAAGACAAAGCAACAAAAACGACAAAGAAAACTGTCAAGACCACCTTTCTTCACTTGTCGGATCTCATTTTTGCATGATTTTTGTGTTTCACACGCACTGGGCAAAAAGACCACCTGCCCAAGTCAAACAGCAGAGAAAAAGCAGCCAAATGGACCAACATGGCCGCAAAACAAGTAACATAACAGCAGCAAAGCCTTCAACATAGCCCTGATCTAGACCCCACGGCCCCAATCACTTCCAACATACCTCCACGAGAAGGCTCAAAGAGAGCCCCAACATTGGGCGAAACGCGCCAAGATGGAGAAGGATGTGCCCAGGAATGCCTGAAGATCGCCGAAGATTTGCACAAACCTGCCCTAAATTTGACCACCAACTGGAGCAAGCTTTCATAAGCAATAAAGCTCTCACAAACACATTTCTTGCACTTGTCCAAACCTTTGCGATGCTGGTTATGTTCCCTGGGGAAGACTGCAGTATTGACATCATGGATGTGCTCGTCAGGAGCAAGCTTTCATACGCAAACAAATTATAAAAAGAAGCTCTCAAAAACACCTTCCTTACACTTGTGGGACCTCATTTTTTCATGGTTTTTACAGTGTTTTATGCACATTGCACTTCAAAGCCTTCGAATGCAAGATAGGAAGATAAACCTCAAAAATTGCCTCCCGTGCAGGTAAAATGCAACTTTTTGAAGGTAAATAAGCTCAACACAAACCCATCCAAAGCCACTTTTTACTGTAAATTACAGTGTTTTATGGACCTTCGAACATGCAAAAAAAAGCCCTCGCGGTCTGCAAATCAGCTTGGCCCCCCCCCCCCCCCCCTTCCCCTTCGGTAATACTTCCAAGCGCTACAGCGCTTTCCGTCATCTGCTGTGTGCACTAACAGTGCATTATGATGCATTATGTGGCTGACCGGTATGTCAACGCTTCTGCAACCCTGTTATTCTGACTCATGTTCAATGTACCTTCCGGGCCGTATGGAGATGGACTCTCCTGTCCTCGAAGTCACAGGGCTTCGTTGGATCTTGGCAGTCCTCAGGGTGACAAGGCAGGGGAATGAGCTGGACTGGCATGCACAACACGGTGGGTCGGTCCCTTCGAAGAAACCACTGCATTCTGCGTTCTGGATCTGGGGCGTTGTGGATCTCTCTACGAACCTATGCATCTGGTTGCATCATGAATCTTGCTTACCTCTCCATCCAATATTCTTGCATTCCCGGCCCTCCGACTCCTCTCAGGACTTTCTGGATGCTTAATTGCTTATATAATTCTTGTCAGGACTCCTGGGAACCTTTGCAGGATCGCACAAGCTCGACAAGCTTTCAATTTGTCCGCCGGTCGCGTGTCCATTCTGCCACGAGCACTGGCATGCACGCATTGTGCCCGGGATGGAAACACTGCAAAGGAATGCCATCACCTTGGCCAATTTAGCTCCGACGACATGTGCCACTTGTTGTCACTTGCAGGAAACTCACTCAGCCGTGCTGTTCCAGCCGAGGTTCCAAATAACTTTTGTACCGGAGTGCGATAGCCTGAGAGGTGGACTGCAGGATCAACGGTAGGATGCACAGGCATACCACTGAACCCCAGTCTGTTTGCTGGTCTCTTGGCAACAACAAACAGTTTGGAAACCAGGCTTTTCAAACCAACCTGCACCTATTATATATATATATATGTATGCGTGAGCCCTTGCGTTCCAATTTCCATCAAACTCCCGAATGTCCTCTACCAACTAAGTAACAATGCCAATCTTAGATACAACACTGTTCATGTATGCTGGGGAGGGTTTACCAAATCTTAACATGACCATCCATGACCCTTCTACATGCTGGCCTAGCGTCGGGTGAAGAAAATGTGTTCCAAGTGCTCCGGGCTCAAACGAATCCTGAGAGGAACAAAGGTTGACCATGCAAGGCGTAAAGCTCCACCAGAACAAGCCAAACACCACACGCATAACTACAGGAGAGAGATGCGGCGAGATGCTGTGTTGCTTCATCTTGCTTCTCTATTGGATCTTCTGGATTCTGGATGATTCATGGGGTTGGCACCGGTGGTGTGAGGATCCGATCGACGTTGTGCCAGGTCGCTCTGTCCCAAAGAGCCGAGCTTTCCATGGGTGGGTCTTCTGGCTGCCACGCACATAAGCGTCACCTCACAAGGGATAGAACATGTATGAGGTATCTCCAGTATCCCCTTCATGATGGGGCGATGAGATGCCATGAGTAAGTGCAGGTGTCCATTCATTGAGTGTCGGCCGAGTAAATGCAGACTCCGTGATGGCCTCTGCACAACCACACAACACACTTGTCTCGAGTCAAGAGACCCCTTTTCACTGCTGGCCAAACTGAGGAACAATCTGAATGTACATCTGGGATTCTAATGATAGCTCCTGTCCACAAGAAATCCAGACTCGGGAGTCCTGAACCAAGCAGCCAATGTGGTGTGTGATGTTGGCCTGTCTTAGAAGCACATAGCTATCCTGGCCACAGCCATCATAGGCATATGCTTCAATCCTGGGAAGAGAACAACGTGCTCTTGCATTCATGGCTAGGATTCATGCTTTTCACCCAGGCTCATTGCTGCAAACACCACTGTATAGAGACTATACAAACACCATGATATGATAAACATACATACAGGGAGCTAGGCAGAACCAAATAGTGAGGCGAAGAAAGACATTGTTCAGTATCCAAGACTTCACTGATCCCAAGACTCTGGCTCATCTGCAGTCCAAGAGACTGCATCGCTTTGAACTCCGGCTCTAGGGTACGATTCATGAAGCCTCACATGTCACTTGGGCTGTCTGATATGCTCCAAAGCGGATAACCCTGGTGAAGCCGAAGCCACTTAAAGGGACTTAACTTCCCACAGGATCCGTGCGATGGAGCGTGTCCCAATGCGATGATTCGAAACATTTTGAAACCACCGGTGGTTCAACAACACACCGTTGACGCCGATAGCCTTCCATGGTGAGATCCTGCTCACTGTAGAGCTTCACATCGAAGTCCGAGTCCCAAGGCATGATCCCAGCCTTGGCAAATCCAGGTGAGGTTCCTTGAGAACTTTAGCCCACCATATTGGCACAGGCCTCTCTTCAATTTTTTAACAAAACAAGTGGACTTCCCAACTAGGATCCTCTCCCCAACCGCAATCAGGAGGCGTTGCCATTGCGAAAAAGCGCTAGGAAGGTGCCCTCCTGGAATGCCGAAAATCCACTCTCGCTCTGCAGCTTTCGACTGATCTTACCCCTCCCTGGGCCCTAGAACATGACTCATTCTACAACTGTGACGGGATGAGAAATATGGTCTTCAGCACAAAAGCATTTAGATGGATGATGATGACACTCTGAAGAAAGGATGAACAGCGTCCAGGGTCCAAAGGGCCTACAGCTCAGCTTGGACATGCTTGGACCATGAAAGACATCAGCCGCCTTGGCCGCCACTGGGCTTCGGTCCTCTGGCACCAGGAAGTTCCGAGCATCCAAAGAGGTCCACCAATCTCGAAGCCGACGAAAGGCCTACGCAAGTACAAAAGAAGGAATTAGAGTCGTCCTCAAATGCATGTAAACAGGAGTGAACATGTTTCTGTGTTGATATCAAACTTAGGGACAACAATTCATCACCATTATCTGTCCAGAGATTGTCAAGATCAGATCTAAATCTAATTAGATCTTCAAGACTTGAAGATACTCACCAGCTCCTGTGACACCACCCACATGTTTGGATCTGGCAAATGTAAGCTTTTCGCCAGCCTTGTTTCGCCGGTTTAACAAACTTGGAAGGCCATGTGCTTGAGAACCGTGCGGCTAATATACTCAACGTTGTTTAGGTTGTGACTCAATGCCCAAGATGAGTCCGGACATCCCTCTTAGGAACTTGCAGCAATGTCTCGCCTTCATCACATCTCTTCGGAAGCAGTAGGGTGCCACCAAGCCTTTCTGAGCTACCTTCCAAATGGGCAGGATATGAGCTGCACCAGATTCTTCATGATTCTTCCCATAGCTCCCAATTTGCTCCAGATGGTGATTAGGATGAAGCATGAAGAATGGACAAGCATGGACAAGCTTTATTCAGCAAAGGGGAGAAAGTCGTTCTAGCAATTACAAATCTTTCGATCTTTGTTCAACCAGGTTTTGGCTGGAAACCGCCACTCAGTTGACTGCACAGATCCCGCAGTGCCTGGAACCAATTGGCTCCTTTGATGCAATAAACGTCCTCACGGCCATCGAAGTTTGCAAGCTCCACCTTGAGCAAATGGCTTGGAAGTGGTGCGGTGAAATCGGATGCTTGCTTGAAGTCGAAAGGGAAGGAGTCCAATCTTGAGGCATGTCAGTTGGTGCTCAATGCCCAAGCAGCAAAGGCATTTTCCACTGATGTTCCTGGAAGGTGATGGAATAATATCTACCCATGAGAGTCTCTCGTTGTGGAATTCCACCTGTTGCAGTTGTTAGATGGTGTTGTTGTTGTTGTTGTTAGATGGTTGTCATCAAGGATGTGCTGCAGTGCTTCTTCACTGTTGTGTTTATATACTTCCAAAGCTCAGGGGCACTGGTGCGCCGACACTGCCTGCCTGGTGCTTGGTTGTCATGTGCTCGGTCAATGTTACACGCGTGAGGTAGTCCACTTCAGGCATTGGCCAACCAGCACAGCTGAGAACCTGGCTGGGACAAATAGACTATGCATGAGACAAATGAAGAGTGAGGTTCATTGATGGCATGCTTCACAACAGAATCGGTATACTATTCTTTAAATGGCAACTAGAATAAATAGAAACTTTGGACAATGTTGGTGCTTGGCGAAGAAGCATGAACAATCTGTCTTGTCCACAGAAGCCATGCAACTGACTCAAACATACTCAAACTAAAAGAGCATACAAATTCAATCAAAGCCTACTCCAACGATTCTGGTTCCGGCTTCGCGCCTGAGTTCCTGCTTTGTGGATCTGCAGGTCCATGTCCAGAAGCCAGTTCCACGGATTGTCTGGATCTGACTCCACCAATGACCTGGGAGTGGATACCGACCCCAAGTTTGCGAAGAACGCTTCTCTCTTGGAACTGGAACACACCACTCACTTGACAAAGCAAACACCTGGGTGGCCCGGGCAACAGCGACCGCAACACGCGCGCTGCTCCAAAGGCCCGGGTTGCAGAAGGGAAGCCCACAGCGCAAGGCTCACCAGCCAGGCCTCAAAGATCCAACACTAGTAGCGTCCGATCGCTCCTAGTAGCCCAGCTCCGGATTCCAGTCAGCAAAGTTTGAGCAAGAGAAGAAATGACTGGACCCAAGGCTTGGTGCCCTATTTAGGAACCCCAATTGAAATAACAATATCGCATCGAAACAATCAACCCAGATTACAGTAACCAAATAAATATACCAACACAGACAAACCAAATATACCGAGAAGTGAGATGTATTTATGGAAAACAATCATCCATCATCAACTTCTTCATGATCCTGCTCTACTCATACTACGAACGACGGGACATTCAACTAAGACTAACCATGGGGCTGTAAGTGGTCCTGGCATTGCATGATCCTTGATGCGTGTTGCTCGTAGTGCCGTATTGCACAATAAATACTTGTTGTCCAATCCGGGCCGTGTTGGGACTATGGACCATGGGCATGTATGGGCTGTGCTGCAATACCCAGACCAGTACTTGAAGGTTGCAAACAATCCTGCACACGCGTGCTGTTTGCATTCTTCTAACAAAGGGCACGAGATGCAACAGGTGTGCTTTTCGCATGAACACTATAATAGTAGTTAGTAGTATTGTATTATGCTTTGGCGGAGCACCTCCTCTCTGCACTTGCTACTACATTCAAAAGCGATTGGCCACTGCAGCCGAGATGCCGGTGTGCTCTTCGATCGTTTCCTGACAAAACAGGAAAGGATAGTTTAATCTGCGCCTAGGAGTTCACATATAGTAGGGCCAGGAGCCCCTAGTAGCGTCCTTGCTCCTAGTAGCGATGCCAGGAGCCCCTAGTAGCGTCCTTGCTCCTACCGGAGAGTAATCTGCAGCCTGTTCTTGTGGACTACATGCTAGAGTTTCCAAGGCTGTTTTTGGCCATTGTTGCTTGGTGATCCGTGTCGGATATGTTGCTGGCTCTGGCATTTTGTATGGAAGCTGTCTATCAACTCATTTGTACCAAGTGTCTGAGGATGTGAAGAAGAGCTTCCAATACTGATGGCGCAAGCGCCTGCGGTCTGCCAGAGCAGTTGCAGTAGTCAATGGTTCGTAAATAATGTAAACATGCCGCATGTATATATGAAACGTGCCGCATGCGCACTAACACTAACTGGCATGACAGAACTGGTCTGGACAATGGTTTACGATGGTTTACGTGTGTGTGTGTGTGTGTGGCATGAGGTTTAATGGAAAGTCTACCGTCTACAAAGATTCCGAGGGTACAAACGGTGGTTCGATTCTTGCTGTTGCTACATGTTACAAAACGATACAAAGAAACCAAACCTTCATTTTGAACATGTTGTCAGGGAGGGCCACCAAACGCGTTCCGGCCAGCGAGGTACCACAGCAAGTACCACATCGAGGTTCGTACATCGACTGCGGACCCTCGGATGATTTGTCACTCCCTCGGATGTGTGTGACCCCCAAAACCTTTAACAGTCTGCTCCAGTCATGAGAATTGACCATTGACCATCGTGGATTTGAGATTCAATTTGAGCCTGACTTTCCACCTCCAGGAATCTTCTGAAAGCAAGGGGAAACCCATGATGTTGGTCTCACCTGAGGGGCAATCAAATATGACACGGACTGCCAAACAAGTTTTCTCAAATTGACATGGCCTCATAAATGTAAGTTGCACAAGGATACTGACAAAAACACTGGATGTATGCTTTGGTTTGAAGGTACTGGATGGGTATCTCATTGCGGATGGTTTGGCATCAACATTTAGAATTCTGAAATTGCACGAGAACTGCGACAGAACTGTTTTCCAACTGTCTTTTCCAAAGTTGACTCCTTGGAATCCTCATATCTCTTCAGCAAGCCCTTTGAACACTTGTGAAACCACTCTGAGGCTGTCATGACAGAAACACATGTTACTTGAGAGAGGAGGGGGTGAACGAAAGGTAGCAGGCAATCACAAGTAACCCTGGTAGAAGTCCATGACGGCGTGAACCGGCGCAGGGGGGATTTGATCCAGGGAAGGGGGGGGGGCCCCCCCCCCCCCGACGAACAGAATCAACTCTTACAGGACCAAATTCAATGCACAATCCCAACTCCTGATTGTAACACATTTTTGCTAAAGCAAGGAGAACTCAGGTAGCTCAAGCTACTTTTCGTGATTAACACAACTATACTGCATAAAATGAGAAGAGGCCTTTGAACCAGCCGGTGGCTGCGCTGTCGCAGAAAAAACATCCGCACACTCTGTGGCCCAGGCTATTCTTGCGCATCCATTGCAAAGCATCCTCTAGTGCCTGCGATGCAGGTTCAAAGAGGGAGTGACAGTTCGCTTCCAAGTGCCATATACGAAAAAATACGACAAACACGTACCACACAGAGTAACTGCTGTGGGCAAAATCTGCAGACTATTGTATGCATGTAGACTCATATGGATCATTTACACACTCCGATAGAGAGTTCATCCGAGTGGTATTCAGTAAGGCAATGCACTTGACTCGATGGAACGGTAAGGTGAAAGGTCCGTGCGTTTGAAGATTTTTGAACAAAGCTTCAAAGCGGCTGCAAAACGGCGTAGCGCGGCTGCTCTCAAAGGTGGTGTAAAGGTTTGGGGGAAGGAATATGAACCGCCATGGAAGCAAAAACACAGCAGGAAAAGTAGTGTATTGTCACGGCTCAGGTACAGGAAACTGGCCGAGTTTCCCTTCCCACTCTTATCCACAGCTTCGTTGCGTGTGATAGGATAAGAGTGTCACACGCCCCTGCGAGACCCCTTGGGACGGGGTGTGACACACACACACACGCATATTTACCAGTGACAATATACACATTGTTAAATAAATATATATATATATTAATATATATATATGTTTATATATGGCTCAAGATTTCGGCTCAAAAGGGCGACTGATTGGCTGGGCACATCGCGAGAACGTGCTGACGGCCCGGGAGATCAAGACGGGAAAGATCGCCTTTTTGCCGAAGAATGAGAAGAGGGTACCAGGTGTGCTCTGGCTGCAGTGGCAGCTGGATTTGGCAGGACAGGCTCATCAACAAGCCGAACCTGAGGTGCCTGCAATGCAATAAGCCATGGCAGCAATCCAGGGTTCCTGACCTGAAAAGGCGGCCAGTCACATGGGCTGCTTGGAACTACCAGACAAAAGGCCACCAATGGCCGAAGAAGACTTACCAAGAAGCTCTTTTAGAACCACCTCCGGGCCTGTACGGAGGCCAACCGGCCAAGCGAGCCAAAAAGGTCAACCGGACCGCCCTATGCAAAGCAGTTCAGGAACATTGGGACTCCTTGCCGGACGCCATGAAGACTCAGTGTGAAGCCCTAGGTGTCCCGCCATCGACACCACCTCCACCACCTGATCTTCCGAGCTTGATCAAGGAGCATCTTCAGAGTCTACCACAGGACCTGAAAGCTGCCGTTGAGAAGATTGTTGTTCCAGACAAACCGGAACCGACTTTGGCGACCAAGCTGAAACAGTCGGTTGGGGCATTACGCCAATTGACTGACAAAAAGGCCGCCATCCAGTCGAAGGCTGATGCAGTGAAGGCACAGTACACTGCATTGCTTCAAGAGCTCAAAGAGCTTCAAAGCAAGATTGAGAGTGCTCAAAAAGATCTCCAACAAGCCACCACGCTCTACAACAAGCAGTTGGAAGAAGACAAGCAGGCCACAGCCGACAGCAATGTCGATCCAGACGAATTGACTCCAGAGAATCTGATGGCCATCATGGCCAGTGTCGGTGTACAGGCAACCTCGACACAGATTCAGGACTTTGCACACAAGCTTGTTGAGAATGTGTCAAAAAGAAGGAAGTGCGGGTAACACTGCAACGCAGTTTTTCATGATCAGAGAAAGCGCTCAGACACTTTGCACACATCATGGGGGAAATGATGTCAGCATGGAGTCTGATGGGGAAGATTTTGGCTCAGGCGATCAAAGGGACCAGATGGCCGAGCCTGGGGCAGCATCACCTTGCTCCAATGAGGTGATGCTCGAGGATGGCAGCAGCTATCCGAGTTTTTGTGGAGGCGCTGGAACCCAGGAGGAGAACCTGGCCAATGAAGCGCCTATGGAAGTTGACCAACATGGGGAAGATAGGCAGGTGGCCCAGTGCCCACTGGACTACGTGCTCCAAAATTTGCATTGCCGCCTTGGCAATCCTCGAAATAGATGCTATGCTAATGCTCCTTTTCGCCTCTGGGCCTGGTCAGGAAGCTTCTTGGCTGGACCAAAGATGTGGAACCACACCGCCACGGCGGTTCAGGCTGCTCTGGCCGATGAAGAGATAGTTCAGTTGCCGCAGCTTCAACCCTTGAAGCCTTTGTGGCAAAAATTTGACGAGAATGCCCAGGATGATGCAGCCCACTTCCTTCTTGAGTTGAAGGACTTGGCACAACCCCAACAGGTGATCACGCAGTACTACCACATCGACCATCGACAGGAGGTGCATCAGCGGAAAGAATTTCCCATGCACTTGATCTTTGAAGACAAAGGTCACCCACAAGAGTTTGAAGAGCTCATCAGCAACTGGGCAAATCAAGCAGAAGGCCAAGTGTTAGCCGGTAGAGGGCTTTGGGTGGCCCAAATTGGAAGGTACACTTTCCAACACTTGGAGTGGACCAAACATCATCAGGTGTTGCATGTACCTTCGGTTTTCAATCTGCCGTACACTTTAGATGGCAACAAGATCCAGACAGAACAGTATTCCTTGATTGGCCTGTTGTGTCATTCTGGCACAGCCCACAAAAGTGGACATTTCTTTGCAGTTTTTGCCTACCGTGGTCTTTACTGGATTGTTGATGACGGATCCTATCCCCGACCGGTGGCACGCTTGCAAGACAGCCTTTTGACACAAATTGTTCAGATTTGGGCCATTCCCTCCGACATGGTCTTGCCGGAGCACATCCCTTCTGACATTCTGGCCAGCCAGACGGAGCTGAGTGAAGTGCAGGCGCACAAACGCCATTGTACTCATGGTGTTGGCTTCTCTTTTGCAAATGTCACGACTCTTGGCCAATCAGTGCGGCAATGGTTGCTTGGCAGAGAAAGAACGCCAATCTTCCTGGCGGAAACTCATTTGAGCCCGGAAGACCATGACAAAACACTGCAATGGTTTGCTACCAGAGGCTACGGCATCATTGGTGAAGCCGCAGCGGTAAGCCCCAAAGGAGGCACAAATGGAGGCCTTTTGCTGGTTTTTCCAGCAAATCTGCACTTCCACTACGTCCAAAAGCAGATCATCGACGGTTGTGGGTGGTTTGCAGTGCACTGGACATTCGAAAACTTTGATCTCATCTTGGTCATGGTGTATTTTAAGTGTGGAGAAGGCCTGCAAGGAGCCACAAATTCTTTGCTGTGGTCCGGGCTCCTTACCTTTGTCACCAGTCTTGCCAAGCCGGTGATAGTGTTTGGAGACTTCAACATCACACCAGAGGAATTCATGGCCACCACGATGGGCACCATCATGCAGGTGCAAGTCTTAGCAACAGGCGAGGAAACATGTGCCACAGGAAGGGAACTGGGTTGGGCTTTGGTGACCACTGCTCTTCTCCCTGAAGTCCGCATTGAAGCCAACTGGATGGTTCCTTTCAAACCGCATGCACAGATCAACCTGCACCTGGCCAAAGATCTACATCAAGTGACGGTCACACAGATACAGCGACATCAGCCTGCGCCGAAATTGGAGAAAATCAGCATGGAATGGACACAGCTTGCTGCGATTGACCTTCCTGTGAAATGGCTTGGTATGACCACCAACCAGATCACGCAACAGGCAGGACAGCTGTATCACAAGATTGAGCGATATGTTCTGCAACAGCATACAACTCCCAGTTATGGCCGTGGCACTACTTTGAACTACGTTCAAAAACCGCTGAATGATCCTAGCAAACCATGGTTGTGGAAGAAGGGGTCACTGGCCTACTGGTCCCAGTTGGAAATCAGATTGCAACAGCACATGCATCGGAAGAACTCAGAGGACAGACAGATGCATCATCTAGAACGCCTTGGTTGGCATGTTGATCGCAACTGGCATCCGGAAAGCAACATGACGCTTGAAGGTTTCAAACTCCTTTTCCAGATGCTGTGGAAGAGTCATGATGTCGAGCACGTTCAAGTCCTTCTACAAGCCGTCAAGCAGCAATGGGAACTTCATCAAAAACAGGTGTTTGACACAGAAACACAAGAGTACAGAAGTTGGATGCAAGCTGCCTCGCTCTCAGGCTGCAGGGGTCTCTTCAGAACCCTCAAAAAAGATGAAATGCCTTATGCGAGACCCTTTCAGGAATTCCCTCGTACAGAACGGATGCAGCACAGACTTCAACAATGGGGGGAAATCTGGCAGACGAGAGAGCAGCCACTTGAACCCAAAACGATCCAAACGCTCATCTACAAGGGTCAAGACTATGCACGTGAAACGCTCCAGCCATTGCATGTGCATCAAGTGTGGAAAGTGATCAAACGCCTCAGCCACAAAGCGCCTGGCCTTGATGGAGTTGGCTATGACTTCTTCAAAGAGCTCCCTTACCAAGCCATCCCGGACTTGATACAGTTCTTCCATGAGATAGAGGCCACGGCGAGCATCCCAAATCAATGGACCTCTTCCTTGATTGCCATGCTGCCCAAAAACAAGGACATTGAGAGGCCGATTGCATTAGTTGCATCCTTGTACAGGTTATGGTGCAAGGTCAGAGCTCCGTACACAAAGCAATGGCAGCAAGAGATCCAAGATGTGTATAAATGGGAACGAGCAGTTCCTGGCACAGAATGCCTCAAAGTCGCGCTGAAACGGGCCTTCATGACCGAACACCATCATGCACTCAAGCGCACAGTTGTCTCAGTGCTCATGGATATGTCCAATTTCTATGACAGAATTGACTTGGAGAAGCTCACGGAGCGTTGGCTTGACTCAGACTACCCGGCTACACATGCTGCCCTGGCCATGCAGATTTACTGTGGTAGTCGGATCATTGAAGCTGAAGGAGAAGCATCCAAGATGATTTGGACCAGCAATGGCATCTTGGCAGGGGATCCACAAGCACCTTTGGCTGCAAAATTTACCTCAAAGAAGCCTTGCATGCTTTCTGCAAGCGATTCCCTCAACTACAAGTTGATCTTTGGATAGATGATCTGAGTTTCGACATTGTTGATCGTGATCCTGCAAATGCTGTCAGATTGGCCATTGCAGCGTTTCAGTACATCAAAGGTCTCTTGGGGGCTGACAATTTGAAAGTGTCAGACAAAAAGACTGGCTTCATCACCTCGAATGCCACGGCAAAGAAACTTCTCCTTGAACAGCTGCCAAAAAATGGGCCAGGTGTACATGATGTGATGCGAGACCTTGGTGTAGATTGCACAGCAGGTCGTTTGAGACGCATTGCCACGATGAAGTCTCGAAGATTCAAAGCCCACAAAAAGACTCAGAAGATGAAGGCCTTGAAGATCCCACAAAGAGCAATTCGCTTAAGACTGTACAAGGGCAGTATCCTGGCCAGCATCAGTTGGGGACATGAGGCAATGGGCCTGGCTCCACAGGTCCGAAAACGCATCAGAGCCACCATGGGGAGGCAGCTCGGCCATCAGAGAACCGGGAACTTGGACATTGTGTTCGATATGCACAGTGGCCATCAAGATCCAGACTATGCAGCGTTCTATGACCAAGTCAAAATCTTTCGGCATTTTGCGGGACAGTGGCCAGAAGCACTGAAAAGAGACTTAGAGAAATCCTGGGCTCATCACCAAGAACGACTGGCCCAGGCAGTTCATCCTTGGCAGGTGACACGTGGACCCATGGCAGCGCTGCAGTGCTACCTCCAGGAAAAGGGCTGGTCAGCCATCACACATCAGGAGTGGACCAAAGATGCCAGCAACGGAGCACCAGAATTCAGGATACTGCTGAGTGACCCATGGCCTACCATCAAGGCAGAGCTCAAACGGGCTGAAAGCAGTGACAGATTGCTCCGCATATCCTCCAGAAGCATGCTCCAAGAAGTTCAACAGCCTTTGGACTGGCTCCCATGGCGAAGACTGAGCAAAACACTCAGTCAACACAATGCATGTGCTCTACAAACTTGGCACCAAGGGGCACTTTTCACAAAGTTCAGTGATGCCGTGGACGGGCAGCATTTGCTTTGTCCTCACTGCTCCCAACCGGCAACTACGGTGCATTTGCTCTGGCTATGCAAAGAAACCAAGGCACATTTCCCTGCACTTCCGGCTGCCGATCAGTTTGAGCTTGAGCATGGCTTGAATTTAGAGTTTTGGGCCCAAGGCTTACTCATGGTGCCGAGACTGCAACAGTCCACCGGAGGAGCTTCCGTTCAGGCCTGGGGAACATGGACGGCACAAGATGAAGCTAGGATTGAACATCCAGATGTGGTGACAATTGGCATCGCCCCCACTTCCACAGATGTTCGCCTCAAACACTATGCAGTCTCCATTGTCCACCACACCCAACTGGGAGGACAGTTGTATCGCCAAGGTGCCGTGATAGCCATTTTGCCAGGAAAACAGAGCTGGGAACGTGCATGGTACTATGGACTCCGCATGATAGCTCATTATGTTTCCTTGCAGCAGAGACTGGTGGTTCACGTGCAAAGCACACGTGCATGGGAGTGCTGGCAGCAAAACAAACATGCCGAAGTGTTTCATGATTTGCGTGACCTGATCACCTGGGATCAAAAGCAGCGCATCCGTGTGCTGTGCATCAATGCCAAACAGCTCAAGGAGATGCCAAGCAATGAATGGTCTCTCCGCAGCAGGATGGCGGATGCAGCCAAGGCGGCTAAGGAAGTAGCCTTGTCGATGCAACCTCTTGAGCAAGAGAAAGAATTGTTGGAGCAAGATCAACGCTACAAGCGCATTGCACCACTAGCAATTCAGCGCATCAAGCATTTGCTCAGTGACAAGCAACACTTCCTACATGAAGCAAGAGAGACAGGCAAGCAAAAACGGGTGGAGGCCCGAACCAACAAGCAAAATGCACTCACCAGCCTGACGCACAATGCAGGCCAGGGATCACACACATGGGTTGCCAAGGGCAAAGGTGTCCAGTGTGCCACCTGCAAGAAGAGGCTCACTATGCACAGCAAACACCAAGACATCCTTGCAGGCAAGACCGAACAGTGTGCTGACAACCCACAGCCACCCCTTGTTGGAGGTGAAACGGCAAGTCAGACCAAGTCTGCATTGTTGCAAGAGATGATCAGAGGCCAAATCCCAAACATGGCACCACATGAGTTTGAGGAAGCCAAGAACTACATTTCCTGTGTGAAGTGCCATGTCCAGTTGCTCAAGAACTCCTCGCGAGAGAAGCTGCTCGAGTTGGCCACCATGCCATGTTGGAACCAACTGTGGAGTCCGGAGGACTGGCAGGGACACCCAAGCCATCGGATGTGGAGAAGGGGTGGCAAGCTGTGGTGCCAAGCATGTAAAGCACATGCGCTTGTCCATCCTTTCCGGACAAGCAAGGCCTTGAAAGGCCAATGCACACAGCAGAAGGGGCAAAAACAGCTCCCCATCTGCTTCCGGCAAAAGGCCGACTGAGAACATGCAGTTGGAAAAGAACCGCAGAAAAAAAATGTTTATATATGTGTGTATGTGAGCAACGTGCAAAACCTCTTGTATGGTGTAACATTGTAGTGCGCACTCTTCCCAACGTTATCCTTGTTCTTTCTGTGAACCTTATTGTTCCTACATACTTGGTCTTCATCGGAGGTTTTGGCAGCTGCTCATATTGAGTGTGACTTCGAGTTCGGGCAATACGTCTAAAAATAGAAGGGATGAACAATTATGCATGTCACACAATGTCTTCTGAGATTGACTGGGCAGCTTGCTGGCCTTTGTGTTACGAATCGTCCATTTCTCTGGCAACAAACTTGGCGACAGCAGCACTGCTGGCATATCCAGGTTGATTGTGTCCAAGTTCCTCGAAAACAGGATGCAATGACAACGAGGCGGCAACAATAGCAAAGCTGGTTTGGCCCTGTCGAAAGCGACCAACTGCCGAAAGTGCCAAAGAGTGCCGAAATGGCATCGGACTCTTTTGGCATCGGACGAAATGGGCAACCTGAATCAGGTGGAGTCTGTATCGTAAAGGATACATGAGTGTATACTGAAGAATATATTCATTGAATTTCATTGATGAATATTCCTGAAATTATTTGTTCCTGGATCTATAGAAATTCTAAAGTATTGAGCATCCTCCTCTTGAACAACTTTGGACCATCCCCAATCAGCCAACCCCAAAACACGCACAAAGTCCTCTTGATGAAATCCAAACACGCAGCACCTGCAGCAAGCACTTAGAATTCTGAAACACTGCTGTGCAAACTTCAATGATCTAAATTCCTCCTCCCCAATTATAGTCCTGTTAAGGGGTTTCTGTGGGCTTGGGTGTGTGGGAATCAGTTTCCAAATGAAGGTGGGTTTAGGTTTCATACAGTTGCCACTGGAGCAACTGGAGAACGAAAACTGGAGCAATCGATCCTGGACCGACCTCTTCGGTTCGCACCTGAAAAAACCTAGGTTCGCGTCTTTGCTCCTAGTAGCGATGCCAGGAGCCCCTAATAGCTTCTTGTTATTTCTTGTTCCTAGTTAGTAGTAAGGCCAGGAGCCCCGAGTAGCTTCTTGCTACACGTGTAACTCTTGTCCATTCTTTGGAAAATGAAGCTCCCACACCGCCTTCCAGCTGCGTCTCAGGAGCATGCAACAGCCATGCCTTGGCAATGGTTCCGTGGCTCTGCTCGCAAGGAAAACGCTTGTTTTACTTTTCAGTTTCCCTATAGGAACCAAATCATTAGTGCGAGCGCTATCCTGCGTCCAGTTGCTCGAAGCTAATCGGCCGCCCTTACTTAATTTCAGTAGGCGCCTACTTAATTAAGGGTGAGCTTTAAACACATCGCACAAAAAGAATCCTGACGTGTCAGCTTGTGTTTAGTGGTGTGGAGGATTTGAAGCTCGAGGCTCGTAAGTCCGAGATCTATAAGTTGATGTCAACCTGTAAACATGCTGGATTGTTTTTCGTGACTGAGACTGTTCGTATTCTCACACAAATCATGATTCCCACGCCAACACAATTGAACATTCCAAAGATTATCGATCTGCTGTGTAAGCACCATGGGTTTGGACCTTCTAGGGCTTTCAACGGACTCGGCGTCATGTACTGGAGCGACGAGCAAGTAGGGAAAGAGACAATTGGTCACCAGTCTCACATTGTTCCTTTTTGTCAGAGTGAACTTGACAGGTGAAAGAATGTCCCCCGTATCTATGGCCATTGTCCCCTTTTCTCTGCAACTTCCCAGATAGGCTGTATGCCCGCATCCCACTCATCCTACTAATGTCGGCGTTTCTGGGCAACATACCGTACTGCAATTGCACGGCTCTTTTATGCTATTTCTCACCTTAACCACGTTGTCTCCTTTCTGCTTAATTTGGCGTCCTGAACTGTAGCAACATAGAGTAATGAACAGCATCGCTGGCGATCTCGGAAGCGTTCCAAACCCAGACCCAATGGCTTTGGGGGCTGGAGTTGGACAAAAAGTGCTTTCTCTTCCAGAGCTGTAAAGAACTATGTATGTGTTTCCTTGTTCCCTCAATTTGACCACCACCTCCACCCCCACTACCTGTGCACTCTATAGTTTCTCTGACGAATTATCCTCTTCATGTCCTTTCTAGAAACAATTTCTGCACCACGCTCCCTGGAATTGGGGTGGCGGGAAAGCTTCATAAATCAAGATCCAACATGACGGGGTAAACGACTGCTCGTCTTCAGTACTAGTAGCAATGAATCCATTCATCAAACAACTTCCAGATGCTTTGGGACTCAGGCCTGGCTCACAGGAATGCCAATCGCCAAGCAGGACAGCACCTTAATGGTCCAGCTCTCACAGGTGCTCATGATCTCATGTGGGAACACCAATCCAGGCTATCAGCTGGATTGACTGAGCCCAACAGCTGGAACACATATTGCTCTTGCTTGTGTCAAACGTGCAACATTCTGGAACTGACCACCAAAGAAGCTCCTCGAAAGCCTTGAAGCCATGTTGTTCGTTTGTCTCCAGCTGGGAGATGTCTTGACAAGTTGCGGGCCTCTACTACTGAGAGACCCACATGTGCTGGTGGTGCTGGCATTTCTCCTTGCAGACTTGGACAAATGACTTGTGCGGTTGGTTGGCTCTGCAACGGTAGGTACAAAGAATGGATCAAACTGATCAGACATGATGCAGTGCATCTGTGCTTAACACCACTCCGATCCACCGGTGTCCAACGTTTTTCAGTCCTCCTTCCGCCCGAAAAGGCAGCCAAATGGGCTTTAGCCGACCATCATGGAGTATGGCGGTGATGAGATCAGCCGGATCCTGATGTTCCAGAGATGTGCCCACGCCACCACTTGGAACAAACTCAGGAAAGGCCGACCCTGCCATTGGATGCAGAAAGTCCGGTTCAATCTTAGTAGCATGTAAGTTGGGAGCATTGTCACACCTTTCAAATCTCGATGAAAGAATCCTATGCTCCACACGGATTTGCGCATCCGATCCCGTCCCTCGCAGCCCTTCCGCCACAAATGTTCATTTTAGATATTTGATAACATCTTGGGCCAAAAGCACTCGCCCCAAGGAGTAAGCAAACAATTGATTCATGGCACGTTGGCCTCTGGAGCCTACACTGTGACATCTGTGACCAGAAAATAAGATACACAAAGTGTAAAATTGTAGGAGAGTCAAGCAACGCAAAAAGCAACCTCGAATTCTTACTTGCACGGAGTGTCCCCGAGGATGTCTCAGGTATCAAATGACAACATTGTATCTTTTCAAACAGCTTTTAGACAAACAAGAACACATTCATCCGTTGTGCACTGCACCCAAACTTGGCCCTGGAGGTCTGAAGGAGCTCCCTCATTTGACATGTCCAGCCCTGCCATGCCATGCCTCGCATCCCCGCTGCACCCGCAGCAGTGGCGGCAGCGCCGACGCAACGTCGCGAGCAGAGTGAAAGATGCATGCGTCTGGCTCCTTCAATCATTGGCCCAATGGGACGACAAAAGTCACTCCACGAAGGAAACAACATAAAGATGACACGTGTCTGCATCTTCTTGCAAGAAATTACGAAACAAACCATGAACCCTTAAACCCTGAGAAGCTATGATGCTTTGAGCTGCGTGTTCCAGGTTCATTGGTAGTTCATAACAATTACGTGCATCGTTGCCCCAGCAGCCATATTGAGTTTGTTTCCTTGAACCTCCCCAACTTGCAATAAGTGATGATCCGCTGCAAAGTGGTTCTTCAGGGAGGAACGTTGAGGTGAACAATATCCAAATTGAGTCAGTTCTTTCAAAAATGTGTTGACACATGAATAAATTCTAATGCCGTACGAGCAGGAGTTCAAATCTCCCAAATTCAATGGACAAATAACTAGCTTGGGCAGAATCAAAAGAATTCTATATTTGTTAATATAGATGTCCCTTTCCACTTGTGATGTGCACACTTTGTGCGACAGGTCCGTCTCAAGAATCAGCTCTGCTGGAATCTCATCCACAGCGATCGCACTGCAAAGGTCACCTATGGATGCGTGTCTCGATGTGGCCATGGCAAGCTCTATATGCCAAATGTGGACGTGGCTGCTACGCAGGTCTGTGCCAAAATACGACTTTGCATCTGGCACCCAGTCCGCTGGTTCTCAAATGAAGTGTGTCTGGTGTCTAGTGAGTGAGAAGCGAGAAGCGTTGCTGCTTGAATTGAAGGAAAGGAACGCAAAATAACCATGCAACTATTAACTTAAATGTTTGCGAAACAAGAGCGCACATTCTGCATGTTTATTGCTTGGCCATAAACAGTCTTAACAAATGGATTCCTGGATTCATCTGCGATGGAATCCTCTCACATCCATCGTTGATCCCAAAGGACCTCCCTGTGTCTGAAACTACTAGGAGCAAGGACGCTACTAGGGGCTCCTGGCCGTACTACTAGGAGCAAGGACGCTACTACTAGTAGGGGCTCCTGGCCGTACTACTAGTAACAAGAAAGCTTGTCTTAATCTTTCCGTTCCAAGCCTGATCCACAAACATCAAGAACGTTGGACTGCCCGCTGTGCATTAACCTGGCCGGCCGCTGTGCCAGTCACGAGCAAACCGGGCCGGTCACCGGTGAAGCCGAAAGAAATGACACTTGAGAGAACAGGGATTGGAACAAAATGGAACAAGATTGATCACTATGACCTGATGGAATCTGTGCAGTACTCGAATAGAGTCTTGCCTATATTCATGTGCCCTAAGAATGCTAAGATGTGTCCTGATGTTGGCTCAAAGACAGGGGTGTTGTAAGTTATATATTTATTTAAAACATATCTAGGACACCAAGGCCTACAAGAACTCTTCTGAAAATCCATCTCAAATAGCCACTTGGAGCTTTAAACCACATCTGCAAAGAATTGCACAAACATGACCCTTCAAAAGAAATATGGTGTTGAGATGTGTTTAGCATACCAAGGGGGGTCGCACAATGCAAACCTTCCAATTGATTGTAGCCTGAACATGTTGGATAAACCTGTGTCATGGTCAAGTTCAGCCCCACTGACCAGCCAGGCGCCTGCCGGCAGTGAGCAATGCCGTCCCACCCAGCCGTAGGTAGGAGTCCTGGGAGAAGCATGGAGGAAGCCTTTCAACACCTTCAAATGTTCAAGTTGTGTTCGAGAAAGTCCAGTTTAGAACAGGCAAACACTGTTGGAATTGAAGTGTTTCAGGGCGTCTGGGTCTCTCGTTTTCACTGATCTCAGCTGTAGTGGGATTACAAGCCCAGTGGTGCGTATGTGCACTCCGGCTTCTTGTTCATACTTCTTTGATTTGGATAGGTGGTCACTTTCCTGTAGACAACTTTTTATCATATGGTCGTATGTTGACTTTACATTATCATTACTATATTCTTATCTGTATCTTAGAGTTAATCATTCTCTTATTAACTGTCCTATTTTGGTTGATGAATGATGATGAAGGACAAAGGGACAAATGCGATTTCTCAGAAGCACACCTTTAAAAAAGCATCCCATATATAAAATTCAAATAAAATAGTAATGGTCTTTATGTCCTTTCACTTGCATCTAAAACGAAAAGGATGATGTCACTGATGTCACCTGTAAAAAAACAATATTCTCTCCTGGTTCCACCACCTCAAGGCCATCGTCAGGGCCAAAGATGCTTCCTGCTGCAGGCACGGCGGAAGGCCTCCGGTGCGCGAGAGGCTTCTTTCGGCCCAGAGGTGAAGATGGGTGCCACAGAGGCTACAAAGACCTTCACACTTCGTTAGAAGGAACGGGATGCATACAGTGAGCTGCTATGGCTTCGTGCCACATGCGTTTCTGTGAGATTAAGTGGTGGCCAAGCCATACCTGACCTCAAACTAGAATTAGAAGGAAGGTTCTTCACTCAAATGGAGAGCACTTAGTTCTATAGGAAGGTCTCTTGCATTTCACGTTTATTATCTTTACCACCAGATTCAAGAGTGCTTAAATGCTTCTAGCACGCGCACCTGATGAATACATTGGAGGCCCCAAACACAGCTGCTGGGCCTCAGTGTTTCAGTCGCAAATTCCAGATTGCTCACGCTTTCCATCAGCAGGGATGGGATAGATAGAGGCATCAGCCAGGTGCTGCCTCTGACCCAAACGCATTCTTGTCTGCCGAGATGCGTGTCCGTCTGCGAAGTGGGCCTCCTCGATCTCATGTTTTCCTTGTCAGTAAAGCATACCAGAGCTCTGAGTGGGTGCATCTGGTCTCTGAAAACGAGTGACACTGTGATACACTGCGTGTTCACGCTGGACCATCTCTGGCAAAGTTACACTCAACTCCTTCGGCAAAATCAGTTGGGCCCTTCTTGGAGTCGTTCATGTGTCTTTCAGATTATACCACCAGTCACCCATATCCACCAATTGCCAGGATGTCCTGTAGCCTCCCATCGCTTTGACGCCCAGCTTCTGGCGAGCCATGGAGTCAGCCGGACAGATGTGAGGAAAGGGTCTTCTGGCATCGGCGGCCCCATGCAAAGATACCTGAGGTGATTGATCTGTTTTGCGACTTGCATACTCTTGCACCAGCAAAGCTCACGCTTATGAGTATGTACAGTATGTCAGTAGATGAGGTGATGATGGTACCACAGTACCAACTGTCTTTACAACTGGAAGACTATGGCGATGAGATTGACGCCTGCGGCCGCTTGCAGTCACTGCTCAAATGATGAGGATTCAGAGCTCACCCATCTATTGAAGTGCTGGTTGCCCCAAGAGAAAAAGTGGTAGCAATGATGACAATTGAATTCCCATCAAAATTATGTCACTAAGTATCGCCAATTGAATCAGGTGTCAAGATTCACTACCAGTTTTCGAATCATGTGTCTTCAACAGGTCTATCGTGCCGATGTGTCAGAACAAGACCTGGCACTTGTGCTCTGCAATTGTCTTTTTAGGCTTCTTCAGCTTTGATGACGCCTCTCCAATTATGTCAACAAATATGGTAAGTGTGGTGTCGAGATGTGCAGAGTACAGAATCAAAAAAACATATTTGTCCATAATACACCACTAGCATTATGTTCAGCGATGGCAGCTATACATGACCAACCATCAAATATGTTTTGTGAAAACAACAGCAAACAAAAACAAAACAAAAGCAAATGAACATGCAAAAGCAGCGCACTTTGCTTTGTTGTTGCATTTGTTTTGTTTTTTTTCCTGGTACCACTTCTGCACTTATGAGAACTTTTACCCGTCAGCAATATTTGCTGTACGCTCCTAGGAAAAGCGAACACATTGCAAAAATAAAGCGCACAATTGCGAAAATAAAGCAAACACAAGTGAAAACAACAGCGACAAACACACACAGCTACATGTGTTGCTTTTTTGTTTGCTTTACTTTTGCTGTTTTTTTTGCTTTAAAAAGTTATTTTGCGGGAGACCCCCCCGGTTGACCCGGGCCTGCCTCCTTGTATCTATGGCTGGCGTGCCGAACGTAACACTAGCATCGAATAGAACTAAACGATAATCTTCTGAAGATTCAACCTGTGTGGCGTTATCTACCCATAGAACTTGAGTGCAACCCGAGAGTTCTGACTCCAGTGTTTACAACTCTCAACCAACAACACTAAACATGTGGGAACAATTTAGCCTGCAGTTGGGAGTACCAGAAACCTAAATCAGCCATGAAGAAACATTTGTTGGCTGATGAATGCTGAATGTTGATGACAGGTCCACTTCTAGACCAGGGTCAAACAAAAACAAGCCTCAGCGGCAATAAACATTGGCAAACAGTGTTACACTGACTCAACAAATTTGGCTTTGCTTTCCGAGTCACACACGCAAGCCAGCAGCTTTGATCTCCAAGTCCAGATCAACCTCGAGGTTCCGCTTAAAAATTAAAGAATAGGCAAGGCAAGGCATGTTTTTTCGGCACCAGGCAAATGTTTGTACTCCTTCGACGTGGGACTTTTCCTGCAAACCACTCAAACACAGGGTTCTGCATGGTTCTGCTGCTTATGTCTTCACAGGGAAGTCGCTTGAATGTCTCACCGGTTTGCATCGGCAAAGAAAGGTTTAAGTTTATGAATCATTTATATATATATAAAGACTCACTCCGGTTCTTCCTTTTCACCTTGCAGTGCAGACCTAA